AACATCGAAAGCATTGAACTTCTGATGCCAAAAATTCACCCGGTATATAGTATTTTATTCATATCTCACTCAAATCACATCCATTTGAGATGATCTAAATTCTGACGGGCCCCTGAGAGCGAGGGCTTTTAATACCCGAAAGCATCGGGTCACTCGGCACTCGGCACTCGGCACTCGGACTCGAACTCGGAACTTGGAACTCGGTTCTCTGCACTTGGCACTTGGTACTCAGCACTCGGTAGTCAGTGTGTGGTATTTTGCATATATCTCACTCAAATTATATCTGTTTCAGACAATCTAAATTTTGCCACACCCCTGAGATCGAGGGCTATCTACATGTTAATGCCCGAAAGCATCAAGACCCGACATGAAAAACATCGAAAGCATCAAACTTCCAATGCTGAAATTCACCCGGTATATAGTATTTTGCTCATATCTCACTCAAATCACATCTGTTTGAGATGATCTAAATTCTGACAGGCCCCTGAGGACGAGGGCTATCTGGGTGTTAATACCCGAAAGCATCGGGGCACTCGGAACTCGGAACTCGGCACTCGGCACTTGGACTCGGCACTCAGCACTTGGGACTCAGTAAATCACATCTGTTTGAGATGATCTAAATTCTGATGGGCCCCTGAGAGCATGGGCTATCTGGGTGTTAATGCCCGAAAGCATCAGGGCACTCTGCACTTGGCACTCAGCACTTGGTACTCAGCACTCAGTAGTCAATATATAGTATTTGCATATATCTCACTTGAAATTCACCCGGTATATAGAATTTTGTTCATATCTCACTCAAATCACATCTGTTTGAGATGATCTAAATTCTGATGGGCCCCTGAGTGTGAGGGCTATCTGGGTGTAATACCCGAAAGCATCGGGGCACTCGGCACTCTCGGCACTCGGCACTCAGAACTCAGTTCTTCGGCACTTGGCACTTGGCACTCAGCACTCGGTAGTCAGTGTGTGGGTATTTTGCATATATCTCACTCAAATTATATCCGTTTGAGACAATGTGAATTCTGCCACACCCCTGAGATCAAGGGCTATCTACATGTTAATGCCCGAAAGCATCAAGACCCGACATCAAAAACATCGAAAGCATCAAACTTCCAATGCTGAAATTCACCTGGTATATAGTATTTTATTCATATCTCACTCACATCACATCTGTTTGAGATGATCTAAATTCTGACAGGCCCCTGAGAGCGAGGGCTATCTGGGTGTTAATACCCGAAAGCATCGGGGCACTCGGAACTCGGAACTCGGCACTTGGCACTTGGTACTCAGCACTCGGTAGTCAGTGTGTGGTATTTTGCATATATCTCACTCAAATTATATCTGTTTCAGACAATCTAAATTTTGCCACACCCCTGAGATCGAGGGCTATCTACATGTTAATGCCCGAAAGCATCGAGACCCGACATCAATAACATCGAAAGCATTGAACTTCTGATGCCAACATTCACCCGGTATATAGTATTCTGTTCATATCTCACTCAAATCACATCCGTTTGAGATGATCTAAATTCTGACGGGCCCTTGAGAGTGACGGCTATCTGGGTGTCAATACCCGAAAGCATCGGGGCACTCGGAACTCGGAACTCGGCACTCAGCACACGGCAGAAAGCTTGATTGCAACACTGATGGCACTGAGGTGGATGAGGGAACACCTCCTGACAGTGATTGAATGCCTGAACGCATCGGGGCACTCAGCACTCGGCACTCAGCACTCGGCACTCGGAACTCAGAACTGAGCACTTGGCGCTCAACACTTGGGACTCATTCACCCTGTATCTTGGATTGTGCATATATCTCACTCAAATCATATCTATTTAAGACTATCTAAATTCTGATGAATCCCTGAGATCTAGGGCTATCTGCATGTCAATGCCTGAAAGCATCGAGAGCCGACATCAAAAACATCGAAAGCATCGAACTTCTGATGCCAAAATTCAACTGGTATATAGTATTTTGCTCATATCTCACTCAAATCACATCCGTTTGAGATGATCTAAATTCTGACAGGCACCTGAGAGCGTGGGCTATCTGGGTGTTAATACCCGAGAGCATCGGGGTACTTGGCACTCGGAACTCGGAACTCGGAACTCGGAACTCGGAACTCGGAACTCGGAACTCGGCACTCAGCACTCGGCACTTGGTACTCAGCCCTCGGTAGTCAGTGTGTGGTATTTTGCATATATCTCACTCAAATTATATCTGTTTCAGACAATCTAAATTTTGCCACACCCCTGAGATCGAGGGCTATCTACATGTTAATGCCCGAAAGCATCAAGACCCGACATCAAAAACATCGAAAGCATCAAACTTCCAATACTGAAATTCACCCTGGTATATAGTATTTTGCTCATATCTCAATGCGAGACAAAAGATTGGAAACAAAACTCAAAATTCGAAACTCGAAAGTACTGACTACCGAATACCAAGTACCGAGTACTGAATCTCGGGTCTCGGTACTCGGTATTCGGTACTCGACACGATGCTCGAAACTCATAAAACTGTTTCGAATCACCGAGTACTGACTACCGAGTACCGAGTACCGAGTACCGAATCTCGGGTCTCGGTACTCGGTATTTGGTACTCGACACGATGCTCAAAACTCGTAAAACTGTTTCGAATCACCAAGTACTGACTACCGAGTGCCGAGACCCGAGATTCGGTACTCGGGACTCGGTACTCGACACGATGCTCGAAACTCATAAAACTGTTTCGAATCACCGAGTACTGACTACTGAGTACCGAGTACCGAGTACCGAATCTCGGGTCTCGGTACTCGGTATTCGGTACTCGACACGATGCTCAAAACTCATAAAACTGTTTCGAATCACCGAGTACTGACTACCGAGTACTGAGTACCGAATCTCGGGTCTCGGCACTCGGTAGTCAGTACTCGGTGATTCGAAACAGTTGTACGAGTTTTGAGCATTGTGTCGAGTACCGAGACCCGAGATTCGGTACTCGGTACTTGGTGGTCAGTACTCGGTGATTTGAAACAGTTTTACGAGTTTCGAGCATCGTGTCGAGTACCGAATACCGAGTACCGAGACCCGAGATTCAGTACTCGGTACTTGGTATTCGGTAGTCAGTACTTTCGAGTTTCGAATTTTGAGTTTTGTTTCCAATCTTTTGTCTCGCATGCCGAGTGCCGAATTCCGGGTGTCGGGTGTCAATACTCGGTTCTCAGTACTCGGTACTCGGTGATTCGAGTCTCGAGACTTGTGACTCGTGATTTACAAATCGACATTTGAAACTTGTGATTTCTGAGAACAATGTGTATTATCTTATGTATTTCTGTACTCATTTCACCGACTACCGAGTGCCGAATCTCGGGTCTTGGGTCTCGGTATTTCAAGACAACAAAAATGTATATCATCTTAAATTTGAATTTTCTTAACTCGAGCCTCGAACTCGTAAAAATGTACAATACCTAGGCCTATCTGTCTATATGATATGTATCTGGGCCCACCCGTCTATCTAATACATAATTCACCCTCACCCTTGGCCCACCTGTCTATCTAATATTACCCGACGTCGGCCCACCCATCTATGTAGAATTCCCCACGTCGGCCCACCCTTCTATCTAATATGACCCCACGTCGGCCCACCCATCTATGTAATAAATAATTCCGCTCACCCTCGGCCCACCCGTCTATCTAATATTACCCAACGTCGGCCCACCCATCTATGTAGAATTCCCCACGTCGGCCCACCCGTCTATCTAATATGACCCCACGTCGGCCCACCCGTCTATGTAATAAATAATTCCCCTCACCCTCGGCCCACCCGTCTATCTGATATTACCCCACGTCGGCCACCACCCGTCTATCTAATATTACCCCACATCAGCCAACCCGTCTATGTAATAAATAATTCCCCTCACCCTCGGCCCACCCGTCTATCTGATATTACGCCACGTCGGCCCACCCGTCTATCTAATAAATATTTCACCGCTCCCTCGGCCCATCCGTCTACAAAATAATACTAATACGTCGGCCCACACGTCTATATAATACTATTTGCTATACATCTCTCCTCAGGTCTATAATATATGTCAATCCTACTCTACATATTACCCACATGGGCCCACCCATCTCCATAATAATATTTCTCCCGGCCCATCCGCTATCATCGATGATATATATAACATTAGCATAGATGGGCCCACCCGTCTCCATCGGAAATAATATGCCTCCCGGCCCACCCGTCAACATCGGGAATATACATAACATCGGCCCATAATCCGCTGGCCCGTATTACACGGGATATTATGTAGGTCGGGTGACCCGTATAATACGGGATTTGTCACTGAAGGGGCTCGATGAAACATGGCCCATGGCCACAGTGAAGAGTAGGAACAATCCTAGGATGCGGGAATATCATACTCCCACAGCAATGAAACAATAACCAACACAACCAACACAGAGAAACTTCAACAAAAGGCTCCTCCAGACTGCTAAGAATAATAATCTCAGGAATCAGCATACCTCATTTGGGTTCTAAGATGCAACAAAACAATAAATGGAACCTCACACACAACAGAAGCAATAATGAGCTGCTGGATAGCATCAATAAACAAAAGACTCCAAACTGACAGAATAACTGCAAGAAAAATCAACCACACACCAAAAACTTTGAAAAACTAATCAACACAACTTGGTCAGACATAATTACAACAAACGGGCCAACACCCAAAAACTGGGTCATTGCCCTCGAGATTTTAGTAGGTATCAAACCACCCAGGCCCTCTGTGACTGAGGTAACCAGGTAGTACTAGAGTCCCACACACCCCATGAAAACGGGAGTGTGTAAGTGCATTTCTCCTTGGACCTGGTGAGGCGATCTCAACCTGGCTGGGCTGATATGAGATATCTAAAAATGCTCAACCAGTATAAGTGAGTCTTGGCTCTGCCTAGCTGCTATACTCGCAGAATGCAAGAACATTCGATCCTAAAGGGGACTGCTACTGAACACAGAACCAGATGAAAGAAAGACCCTTGAAGTGCGATGGATGCGCAAAAGCGCAAGAAGAAAAGCGAAGTGAGCGCGAAGTGCCGAGAGAGCGCACTAAGGTAAGCCGTGAGCGTGGGAATGTGAGTGCCTAAGGCGCGCGTTGTGCGGAAAATACCAGGATAAGGAAACGAGGATGTGCAAAGCGAGTGCAGATGCAGAGCGAGTGTTATAATGAGTGCGGATAATAGGTCTAGTATAGGCGGATAACGATAACCATTGGAAACACAAAGTGTGCCCAAGTGGTGACTACTACTTTAAAGTAAAACCCAATAGGGAGGGAAGTACAGCAAAGGGGAGTAATAATGATGAAGTAGTAAGTCAGCAAACTTTATACTATGGAAATCGCATCGGAAGCGGAAGGGATAGGAGCAATAAGCGCTATGAATACGTAATGACATGTAATAGCGCTGCAATGCTTGTTACAAACCACGAGGCAAGGGATATGACGTACCAATGAGGTGGGTGGACATAGACAGACGTTCCTGGATGATAGGCGATGCAGGGCGCTTAAGCACGAGAAAGTGCACAAGGTGCACGTGTGGGAATGCTGCGCGTTGTGTGGGAAAGTACCCGCGCCTATGGCGCGTTTCGCGGGAAAGCTGCGCGTTATGTGGTAAAACGACTGGGGACATGATAGAAGTCAAATATAGCTGATGGTGTGAGTCGTGCATTGAAGGCCAATTGTCATGAGTTGTGAAAAGGTGCAAAATGTGCCCATATGTGCCTGCAGAAACGCGAGTCTCTACACTGGTGTTCCATGAACTCCACTATAGCGTGTACTTGTAGAACTAGACTTGTCAGTGGCTACAAATACATATTACTTGTCCAAAAAAAAAAGGATCTGGACTATGTGTGTTCAGTGCTATCTCACTTCATCGCTACCCAAGAATGAGTGATGCAATCAAGTAAAGATGAAATACAAACACTGCTTTCTTGTCTCGCAATTATTTCAGAAGATATAGCCAGCTACTCTGTGCCTCGTTTGGCAAGATATTTTAGTAATTTGTATGCAAAAGAGGTTTTTGTTGTCCTGCCAAAAATTCATTAGTCTGCTCTTCCACTTACACAATTAGTTCAAGCCTCAAGTATACTATGGTCGAGTAGGTTCAAGTGATTGTTTTTCTTGGTGGCTTCTTTGTCTTGGCTTGAAACTGTATAAATGACCTACATTGTTGTCTTGCAATATCTGTGAATCATATTTTGTCTTGGTGTCTTCTTCCAGAGTCAGGGATTGATGCTCGTGCCGCTACTAATCTTGTATAATATGCACATTAATTCAGCATGAAATGATTGCATGACTCTGCCAGCCTGCATCAGGAAAACTACATATTACTCAGACTCCAAACCATCAGTGGTGTGTAGAGTCTTGTGCTAGTGCCACATACCAAATACATACAACTATATTTTAAATCCCACATCTTGATTCAAACACCGCAACTTTTGGACTCTACACACCTAGCCGACTGGCACAAGTTGCTGTGGTGCAAGGTTTGACCATGATTGTAGTCTCCCATGTGTGTCGGCTCAATGCACAAAGCAGAAAATAAGATAAAGGCAAGCAGAAGATTCAAACACGGGTTGTAGGGCAAAAATCTAGCACTGACTTACCACAACACCATAGTCACTTTCTTTCCTTGCATGACAACAGATATATAACCTATTGGCAAGCCTGCTCACAAGCACAAGTACTTGGGGTGTGCCTGGCTCATATACACAAGTATCACAATAGCCAGATACACCCCCAAGGGTCAATTATTATTATTGCTCACACACCCAGTATACCATGCCATATAAATGTAATCACTGTGCAATGATTGAGTTGAATGTCTGGCTATTGTTAAAGCAGAATACTGAAAAGTACTTGTGTGTTTGAGCAGGCTTGCCAATAGGTTATATATCTGTTGTCATGCAAGGAAAGAAAGTGACTATGGTGTTGTGGTAAGTCATGCTAGATTTTTGCTCTACAACCCACATTTGAATCTTTTGCTTGCCTTTATCTTATTTTCCACTTTGTGTGTTGAGCTGACACAAATGGGAGACTACAAACACAGTCAAACCTCGTGCTACAGCAACTTGTGCCAGTTGGCTAGGTGTGTAGAGTCCAAAAGTTGTGATGTTTGAATCAAGGTGTGGGATTTGAAATATAGTTGTATGTATTTGGTATATGGCACTATGTAGCACAAGACTCTACACACTGCCGATGGTTTGGAGTGTGCATATTCCTTAATGAGGTCAAAGTTGCTGAAAATGTGAATAAAGTCCAATTTAAGTCCAGAATCAATAAGAACACTGTACTTGAAAAAATTAGATCCATTTTCTTATGTTTGAGCTTAAATTTGTCTCAATATGCTTTGCAAAACAAAGGTTGAGATTGTCCAAAATGTTAAGTGTGAAACAAGATGCAAATAAGGTCCTGCTCAGCAACTGAGTCCAGTTTGTTTTTCACTGGTTACATGCCAAAATCATGACCGATTGAACCAAGCTGGCATTCCCATCAAAACATCAATTTAACCTGACCAGCACATTGTCTTCTTAGATAGATGATCTATAGATGAACACCTATAAAAACAAATATCTCCATGGTCAGTGATTCAGACAAATACCAATGACTGATAACATGGTCATTTGTGGGTAGGCATTAGCATGAGTAGGGGTAACCCACACGGGTCATGGGTATGGGTGCCTTGCAGGTGCAGGTGCAGGTTGCAATGCTGGCTACTTGTGACCCATCCAGCAAGGTACAGTACCCATCACACCCAAAATGGTAGTCTTGACATGTCATATATATTAAAACTGTACAGCATCAAATTAACTTTACTTTGATCACTACACACACCCAGGGCTGTCCCTCGGAACTCTAATCTCTCATAGGGTGTTGAGAACCCCACCATAACTCCATCCACCACAATATAGCAAGTGTGTTACTAAACTGACTGGAAAGGCAGTGCAGGCTATTGCAGAGGGCAGCCGAAAGCTAAAATGGAAGGTTAGCACCAATAGCCAAGAGTCTTTGCAAGGCAAAAAAGCGAAAAATGCACCTTCAACATCAAATAAGGCACCTGAAGACTCAACTATAAAAGCCCCCATTCCTCACATTACCAGTCAGTGAGCCACTGTCCAAATGGAAGAAGAGGACAATACCTCTCTTACCAGTCAGTGAGCCACTGTCCAAATGGAAGAAGAGGACAATACCTCTCTTACCAATGCTATTGTTATCGATTCCAGTGATACATCAACTGATATGAGTACCAAGGCACCTGAATCAGGTGTGGAGGCATCAGATGATGAGCTCGGCAAGTCATTTATCCCTATATAATATAATTAAGTTAATCAGCCTTCATTTCTGACAGCACAGTGTGAAAGAGAAATAGCGACTAGGCTGTTAGAAAACTAGTGCTACTTATCCAAATAGGCGTGAGTGTAATATTCAACCCAAGAGGACTGCTATTGAAGCAACTCCCTACTAATAGCAAGGGAAGCGATAGTGCAAAGGGCTAAAAACCTATAGTGACATAAGACCAAGAACTAATGAGTAGCGCTATAGCAATCAGTGACAAGTGAGTTCCGACAGAGAAACGTGCATATAAGTGAGAAGCACTATGCAAGGTGTTTTTATGTGATAGCGCTATGCGAACGTCCGACAAGTGACAGCGAGAAGAAATCAAAGAGAGTGAGAGCGGAAATAAGATAAGACAGTGCAAGTGAAATGCCTGATAGCGACTAGATTATAGTGCAACTACCGATAGCGATCCCGACGTTGTGAAAGTCAAACTTATGAGGGATCCTTAGCGATGTGCACTTAAAGCAAGTTCAAGCGACACACGATCAGAGAGATTGGCAAGGGTGGAATCGATTGCACCAAGACTGAGATATAGCAACTAAGGAGACTCCGACACACCAGCAAAGGTCCAGCAAAGGGAAGTAAAGTGCTGTATGTGCGACGGGTCATTTTATCATACTGCATAAAAGTTCGGGAGTGCGTAGGCAAGAATAGTAGTGACACTGACGAGGGCACGATGTAGCAACAGGTAATAAAACATGCAGCACAGCAGAACATGAGGATACATGTAATAAGACCTGCGACTGATCAGTAGCGACATTTAAGGAATAATAATGCACCAGCGGAGGTAGGTGGACATAGGCAGGACATGGTAGGACGGAATACCTAGGTGTCAGACCGGGCAGCGCGCTATGGGAGAAAGGTGATTCCAAAGCGGATAGCTTGGGAATGATAGCGCTGGTGACTAGTGTCTTACTCTTTTTCCTCTAGGCAAGGCAAATTATGCCTATGACACTCATATGTGCCTAGCACTGGTATGATTGTCACAACGGCTACAAAAAGGATGGACTTCACTGGTATACACATTCTTCAAGCCAACACCCAGTATTGAATACACTGATGGGAGACGCTCACATGTATTCAAATGCCTAGGAAAGGGCTGTAAACAGCGCATTCAACGCTACCTTGACAAGGGAGACATGAAATCAACAAGTAACATGGTTGAGCATGTTAAGAGTTGTTGGGGCAAGACTGCATATGAAGCTGCACAGGAGGCTAAGACAACTGCATCAGCACGCTGTCTTACTTTTTAAGGGTCTTATGTATAACGCGTGTATAGTGACAACACAACTATACAGGATAAGACTTCTTGCCAGTCTTCAAGTACATGGTCTATGACTTTTCTAGTTTTTGTGGTAGATAATGTGTGAGTTCTTGGGAGGGTTTACTGACGTGTCCTCTTCTTGTTGTTCCCTGGTCAAATACTCGATAGATTCCCTAATGTTCTGATAGTAAGATCTGTTTCAATCTCGTAGGTCATGTCTCAACCTATGAAAGTCTGTCTCAACTTTGTCGTGTTCTCATGTCTCCCTTCCTGGAAAAGAGAGAGTCTGTCTTAAATACGTGAAGCCTAGTTAGAAAGCTGTTCTGGTGTTGTATACTCAACCCCTGTAAGGTAGTACACAACAAGTAATGAAGTCTGTCTTAAATATGTAAAGCCTAGTACGAAAGCTGTTCTGGTGTTGTATACTTAGCCCCTGAAAGGTAGCACACAACAAGTAGTTTATAAATAGATTGTTATATAAGCGACCCCTGTAAGGTAGTATACAACTAATTTCTGATAGAATGTTTATCTTACTTCAAGGCACTCATGGCCTGCACTTTAAGTCTTACGGACTCTCATGGTTTGAGAGAAGAGTGAAAAGTGGGAAGTTATTATTACTCAGTGTAGAATGGGCTCCTTTTATACCTTTTTGGGAGGCCATTTTACTAAGCATGACTCATCACAGCATTAGTAAGTCACTGGCTTACTAACCATGCCATTTGGCAGTGCTGGATCAGCTGCTTACAAAGTAGTTTACAAATAAAGTTCATAATATTACAAAGCATGATAAATCATGATGAAGCATGACCAATCATAACAAATCCTTACAAATCAGATTATTGCCTATCACATGACATGCTTACAAACACATCTGGTGGCTCACTAAAGGATTCTGTGGCTGAATGAGCCTGAAACAAATAGAAACAAATGGAAGCCACATGACAAATCATGCAGGATCCTTACAAATCAGAATATTGCCTATCACATGACATGCTTACTAACACATCTTGGTAGCTCACTGGTGGCTGAATAAACCACACAAAAGAAATGAAAAGACAAGGGGAAAGGTGAAAACTATCATACTGGAAATATAAATACAAGTAAATCTGTCAAAATGGAACCAATCATAATAATACAATGAGGTACACCTTAGTGTACTCTCTGTGGCTACTTCCTGTCTATCAATGTCATGGTATGAGTTCCATACCATGCATGACAACGCGACTCCATAGTGGCTAGTGTACTCACAACAGGCTTGATCACATCCTCCTTTGTTTGAAAGGGTAAAGGCAAAGTAATGTACTTGCATAGGCAACACACAAAATCCAAGACAAAGTGAGCCCATGAAATATGCATCATAAGTGTGACTCACAATATTTATAGGGCTGAGATTGTTCAATGGGTATCAGAAAGTCTTCACCCATTCAAAGTTGTTAATGATCAAGCTTTTAAGTCCTTAATGAAGACAGGATGGCCAGAGTACTATATACCTTCATCATTCACCGTGTTGCATGATGTTAAGCTCATTTTTGCAAACATCAGGAAACAGATTGCACAGATGTTGCAGAAGTATGACGGTGTGATGACAAGATATGGCTGGGCTGTAGGTAAAAGCACCAAATCAAAATATATGAGTCTCCTGCTCTCCTAGCTGCTACTCTTGCTAGCAAGAACGTTCGACCCTAAAGGATCTCTGACTAGGCTCAGGCTCAAAGAAAGAGAGCGGAGAAGGTACTCCAAGTCAAGGTAAGAAAACTATGTTCCAGGAGCTATCTGGTGAGCTGAGGGAGCTACAACTAGGAAAGCTACAACTAGGGGATACTACTAAATAACCCAAGTGAATGGGGAGCAACCAAAGAACTGGAAACAAGGGAAACTAGGTAATGACTGTAGAGTCCTAGGTAAAGGGAAGATGATTATGTAAGCAACAAAAGTGCGAACCTAATCTAAGGAAAGTGTCAATAAGAAATGCATAGTGAAACGTGCCTCTGCAAGGCTACAGAAAGTTTGAACACCACAATGGTGGCCTTAATTTCACCACTGATGCATGAACATCGCCAAACCATAAGGCATTTGTAGCTGCCTTGGTGCACTTGGAGCATGAAGGCCAGCCCATCGCAATGCTTCTTGACATTGTCAAGGTCGCAAAGGTACACATTTCAAGGTCACAAAGAGCAAGAACTAATTATACTGCCAGTCACATTCAGGTGTGAACCTCGCCGAAGCATTCACAAAGGTACTTAACGACTTTGGAATTTCAGATAAGGCAAGTTTCATCAACAACATCTAGCACGACTTACCAATTTTCATCAGATGCTGAGCATAACAGCAGACAATGCATTGAGCAATGCCACAATGATGATGGAACTTGCCAAGCTCATTGATCATTTTGGTGGAGAAGTGGCACGCACATGTTGCTTCTTGCATATCATCAATCTTGTGGCCAAAAGCTTAATTAAAGAGTTCAACATACAGATACAAAATAGTGTTGAGTCACTTGACAACACAGAACACGACCTCCAGGATCTTACAGGTGACACTGACATCAAGGACAAAGATATTATAGCAGAGAATGGTGATGGGGATCCAAACACTGACAATGCCGATGATACAGAGGGATGGATTAATGAAATAAATGAGTTGGATGATTTTGATTGCGATGCACTGCAGGAAACATCTGGCCTATCAAGTTGGTCCTTGTCAAGGTAAGCCAGAAGGACTCTACGCACCTGTTAGTTTACTGACTGCAAAAAACTCTGTAAACTGGCCTATGGAATTGTTCACTTAACTACACTCCTGCTGCCAGAATGGAAAGAAGTACTTACTGAACTCAATCTTACTGTCAGGATTATG